TGAACCGCTTCAGACATCAGAAAGAATGTCCCAAAGAGTCACTTTGTTTTGGCATGCATGGTAATAACAGTATCGTTATTCATTCATCAGGAAAAAAACAGTGCAATACAGAGTGTTCACCAGAAACTGCAGGATCTGGAACTAGAACACAGCAACTGTTCTGAAGTGATCAGGCGGCAGAACACGGAACTTGAATTCAGTGCTGAACAGCAAGCTCGACTTAAAAAAGAACTTGACGTAAGTGCCATCTTTCCCGGCCCTCCTCCACGGATGCTTTGGTCTTGGTGTGTGAAAGTTGCCAACTGCAAAATATGTGTTGTATACCATTTTCGGTTTCCTTCATACTTTACTGTCAACAAGAAAAGTTATGGGGTTCTTTGTGAGGTAAAGAGGGTGGGAAAAAGCTATAGAACTCTTAAATGAACAACCGAATGGTCAAGATGGTAGTCCAAAAACTAGGGTCCTTCTAAGGAACTACCATGTCAGCTGCACCTGCTTCCCAAACTTCAAGTATATACCTTTATTCAGGCATTTGTGGGTAGTAAGGAGTTGAGGTCTCCACATCAGTGTAATTGGTTTTTCCACAGGTAAATGTATTCCTCTGGAATGAACTACAAAATAAAGAAGACAGTGTGTAAGCAGCTGTCAGGACAGAAAAAGCATTGCATATTATGGCAAAAATTCCAATTATTTCTACTACTTCATATAGTTTGCAATGTAAATGAGACAAAAGCAGCTGTGGCCAAAAGCAGCTCTACAAACTGATCTTAGTGTGGCAATTTGGTAGATACTTAAGCAGAGCTCAGGCAAGCCATTTTTCGCTAAGGAAGATTTGTGCTGTTCCTGTAGTGCCCTCTAGTGGATAACACTATGAAATGTTGCTAACTTATTTCAAGAGCTTCATGCATTACGTCTTATATTTAAGAATTTTCATCCCACTTTTCTTACAAGAAAATCAGAACAGCTTGTGAACAATAAAAGCCTGATTGCATGTGCAATAATAAATAAAAGTTTCCAATAAAATGCCTGAGAACTTAATACAAAATATTGACTTGATTAAATCCGTAAAAGAGAGCCTGCTGTAACCAAAAAAAGGGAAAAGTCTGCGATGCTTTAAAAATACTACCGAATTAGCTTTCTTTTATACTGAAGGTTCCCCCCCCCCCATAGCTGCTTTCCACCAGGGTTTTTTCATGGATATGTCATGAAATTGTTTCTTCACAGGGAAATGCTCAGGGTTCACCAATGCACAAAGCAGAAGAAGCCAACTCTGTAGACAGGATTAACGCACAAAGTAGTCCTCAGAAAAAGACACTTCCTTCCCCTTCACCTGTTCTCACATGTGCAATCTGGATGTGCGTGTGTCCCCCCCAATATTGTTGTTTAAAAGAAGTTTCAAGATGTTATGTGGGATTTTTTTTTTACAATTTGGATTCTCTAATACAAGAACCCCCTTGCTTATAAATGATGGATCCAGCCCCAGAGGATGCTGGCTGTGTTTTTAAGTCCCATTGAAATACACGGGACTAATTGATTTCGGTATGTCTGACTTTCCCTGCACTGGGGCTAGAGAATTTTGAGGGACTGTGCCTCTAAATCTGGTTTTACTTTAATATTAATAAATATAGGCACAGTAGTGTGTAACTAATACAGTATTAATTTAGAGAATGCCTTTTATTATAACTAAGCAGTCACCCTTGTGGATGCCATATGGAATGGGTGGAAGTTTACATATTTTTGGATGCTTTAGCTGACCCTCTTCCAGCCTAAACCTTTCTATGCACCTTGACACACTCAGAATCATTCATTTTATTTGTTTAGACAGTTTATATGCTGCCAGTCTATAGACTTGCTTGAGGCAGCTTACAAGTAATAACCATAGAACCATACCATTGGACTGTGGTACGTGTCCAAGGATACATTTGGCCCCAGAAATGTGTTTGGCACTCTCTTGCTTTTGGTGCAAATGCAAAGAAGTTAATGAAATGTATCTAGAAACTGGATGGAAACAGTATTTTAACAATTTATGGAGGAGCCCATTTTGGGGGGGGGGGTTAGGGCGGGGTATGAAATAAATAAATAAATAAATAACATGGAAGAGGTGGATTTATTGCTTTGTGAAAACCAGAACTGGTAGTCTCCAAAACTAACTTTGTGTTGCTTTTCAAAAAGTTTAGTAGCCCTTATTCAATCGAGTATGGCTTTACAGTTGTCACATACTAAGGAGCATAATTCTGTGTGGATGGAAACGCCAAGCTTTCTTCAAGAGCAATTCCTAACTGAGTGCGTTGCAGTAATCTGTCTAAGACAGATGTGTCAAACTCATTTATTATGAGGGCCAGATCTGACATAAATGTCACTTTGTCAGGCCGGGACATGTGTACCATAAAACATAATGCCAAGTACCAGAGATAGAAACTGTATAAAGGACAGCAGCTAGTAAGCTCCAAGTTGGTGTAGGCTTACTGCAAGGCTCCATGGGCTGGGAGGTGGGTGCAGAGGAATACCCATATGGGTGGACTGGAGAGCCAGCGGTGCAGCACTGGGCAGACACTCCCACGATGCTTGACTGCGGTAGACGAGGTTGTTCCGCCATGCTGAAGCCACAGTGGAGTGGCTCCGCCCACTCCGCGCCGGACTCCCTCCATTGCATCAGTTGCTCGTGGGCTGCATAAGAGCCCTGGACGGGCCGTTCTGGCCCTCGGGCCTCATGTTTGACACCCCTGGTCTAAGAGGTAGCATTTTTACAGGCTATCATGATGAATTGATTTTTAAGTTAGTGTATTTTTCTTCTTAGGCAGCTACGGCAAGAATAAAGAAGCTGGAAGAAAACATTGAAGCAGAAAGAGCCGCACATCTGGAATCAAAATTTAATTCTGAAATAATTCAGGTAAACCAGTGAATTAAACTGACAAATGTATGCCAGGTGAGCCTGTAACTGAAGAATTGGCATATGCTTAATAGTTTAAGGCCCAGTGCTGCATTTTAATGCATAACAGAATAGCCTTTGTAGAGGATGCAATAGAAACTTCTGTATTGAAGGATATTTGACGGCTGGCCTGTAAAAACTTTGTAAAACAAGCTTGTTTGCAGAATGGGTACACAGTGGATACCCAAAGGAGCATGTTAACTTTGTACTTTTGCTGGCATCCCAGGACTAACCAAGGCTGCTGCGGCCACTTAGTATTGGGAGTTGACCCAGAATGTCAGCATACATATGCTGCAAGTTGCAGTGTTATAACTGTCTCAACAATAGTTTCTTACCTTAACCTTAATACTCAGGCTTTCAAGTGCGATTTAGGTGTAGAGAATAGACAGCAGGGTTATATGCTTCCCCTTACACCCTCCACTCTACAGGACAGATGTAAGTCTTCACACTCTGCTTTTCTCCCCAATGGAGACCCAGAGCTTACAGCATCTTTCTCTTCTCCTTGTTATTACCACAAACACCCTGTGATATATGTTAGACTGAGAGAGAGTGACTGGCCCCAAACCATCCAATAGGGGGTTTTTTTGGGTGGGGTTTTTTTTTTTTTTTTTTTGCAGAGTGGGGATTTGGATATGGGTCTCCCAGATTCTAGCCCAACACTCTAGCCACACTAGATTCACTCACCACGCTTTTCTTTCCTGGCTAACTATGGTTTGCATTTTGCTTGCTAACCAGGTTTCACTCCTAGCCAGTATCTAATGCTTTGATCAAGTCTTGGCAAGGAGGAAATATCATTAAAATGGTAATGATGGTTAACCTTGATGCAGGAAGTATATACATAATCATGGTTAAAGGTAGGCAGAATTCCCACTGAAGAGGTGGGTATTTAGTAGAAGGGAATATGTGATCCCATGGTTGAATTCATACCTACATTTAACCATGGTTTAGTATACTGTTTGAGCCTACATCTGTGATTATCAGTAACCCGTGTTTGTTACAGACCTAATCATGGTAATGTATTGGCAAAATTAAGTCTACACCAGCCTTCTGTGTTGAAGTGGCTCTTGGTATTGCATAGAATGCTGTCTGTGTCTCACAGTTACTGCTTTGTCTAGGAATATAATGTGTTAACAATACTCTTGGAGTACTGATTGTTGGTTTGTTATCATTTCTTGCAGTTAAGAATCCGAGACCTGGAAGGAGCTTTGCAAGTGGAGAAAGCCAGCCAAGCTGAAGCACTTTCTGACTTGGACATTTTCAAAAGCAAGTTCAAAGAAGTAGAAAATGCCTATGAGAGGGAAAAACGAAACGCACAAGAGAGCTATGAAAAACTCAATTTGTACGTTGTTAATCAGAATCTATATGTCTTTGTTCCGTTGGTATAAGAAAACAAAATACTATAGAGAGCTATACAATAGAGGGCTATATTGATGGTTACACTCTGTCAAATGGTAGATGTAGTATATGCTGTCTGAATCAACAGTTAACAGATTTCCCCCCCCTCCAGTTCCTAAATCACTCTTAGAAGTAATCATCATGTTTAGATACTTAAAATGTGAATGTGTGAATGGGGATGCTTCTTTTTCATCTTGTAGCAATAGAAGATTATTCTGTTTTTAGCTTGGTAACAATTTGGTCATTGCAGTGTGGTGAGCTAAAATGTGAGACATACATTGGAGTAGCCTGGGTTTAAATCCCTGCTTGGCTGCATCACTTACTGGGTGACCTTGGGTCTCTCACTTTCTGTCAGCCAAACCTTCCTCATAAGACTGTCTTGAGGTAACAATGATGTTAACCTGAGCTCTTTGGTGGCAGGGTGAAGGAAGAGTGTAATGAATAAAACTGAGCCCTTATTCGTGGTAAGGCATGGAGGGTTTATGAATGCAATAAAACAAAAAGGTAGATTTTTAGGGAACTGACATACCAGTTTTCTTACCAGAAAAAAATTTGATCACCAAATCAAACATCCTTTATATCCTGGTGTGATAATAGAGAAGACTTTGAACAGAGATCCCCTAATTCAAAACTTTACTATAAAGATAGCAGAAATAGCTGAGGATTTTTTCTTTCAGTGACCCTATTTACTGGTTGAGTAAGTGGTGTCTCACCTTGCCATTCAAGTTTGCCACAATTTAAGTGCATATTTAAATTTATATTTGGATTTTTGTTTTCTTGCAAGATATTCTGATGTGGATGACTTCCATGGGCATTAACCCACTCTCTTTCAAGTCGTTCTTATGTAACTTAGCATAAAATGTTATAACCATCACATTCCCCTTCTGTCCTTTGATGTAATGGCCTTTGTGGTTAACGATTATTTTAATTTTCCAGCCATTTTCAGTGCTTTTGTGTTTCCTGATCTGACTTTTCGTTAGAAAGGTTCGTGTTCTCCTTTTTGTTGAATCTTGCCATTCACCGTCTGTCTTCCTACTGTTGTTTGTGGCAATTAACATTCTTTTGACTATTAATGGTGACTGACCTTTCCCCCCAGGATGCTTCCTTCTGCCCTGTTACTGTGCTGCTGGCATGCTTAAGGGTGTCCACGCTTCACTCCTTCTCTCCCAAGGCTGGTGTGCCCTGGGATGTGACAGAGAGGTCACAATGGGAAGAGTGAGTGGTATGAGGAAGCCCATATGCCTCTGCCACATGTCTAATGGTACTTTAGGATTTTTTACTTTCTTCACTTAGATTCAGGTGGGTAGCCGTGTTGGTCTGAAGCAACAGAACAGTGGCACCTTTAAGACCAACAGAGTTCAATTCTGGGCCTAAGTTTTCATGTGCATGCACACTTCTTAAAATACATTGAAACAAGACTTCCTCAACCATTACATATTGGGGGGGGGGAGTTAATTGCCCAGAAGAGCCAATAGTCAAGATGCATAAGTAACTGAGCAATAAGTATAGCTAAGATTGGAAACGGAGATGAGCACCGCAACCCTAGAGTCGGATTCGACTGGCTTTCGAGCAAGGGAACCTTTACCTTAAGACCTGTGAATAGCAGCAAATTAGCATACAAATAATAAGAGTTAACAAACAGGTGTGAGAACTAAGCTTGAGTCCAGGAGCACCTTTAAGACTAACAAAGTTTAATTCTGGGTATAAGCAAGAACTGAGTGACTTAGTATGTGTAGTGAGATAAGAACCCAGTATCTATTAAACTCTGGGGATTCTATGGTCCTGCGTGTTATAGTAATTTGTAATTCAGCAATCTCCCATTCCTGTCTGTTTCTGTAATTCCTTTGTAATAAAACAGCTACTTTGAGGGGCCCCACTGAGTGCCCTGGGAGGTTAAAATGTTCTCCCACAGGTTTCTCAGTTTTGTGATTCTTGATGTTAGATTTGTGTCCATTTCTCCTTTGGCGTAGGGTTTGTTCTTTTTCTTCGCTTAGGTTCAAGTATGATATATACATATATGATTGCTATTTGTAGATACTGTATTCTGGCAAGTGATGTGTTATGGTGATACTCAGTATGTTCAATACCTTCAGTTTGGTTAATCTAAGAAATTTTGGTGTTATAGAAACTTCTGGATGAAGTGAATAGTCGTACTTCATACAGTTTATATAATTATATGATTTCCATGCCAAAACCCCATAAGAGGTAGTGCTTTTAAAAGACTGTTAGGGAGTTGACATATTGTTATTTCCTTAGGAATTGTTCATAGTTTGTCAAAATTAGAAATTGGTAGTATCTTCCTTTGAAACAGTGTGTTACGGAAACATATGTACAGCAATTGTCAGCTTCTAAAAGGTTGTCAAAAAGATTTTTTGCAAATTCTGTTCCCTCCTTTTAGACTGGAAAGGGATTATCTCTCCATAAACAAGCAGCTAAAGGAAGAGATAGAGGAAAAGAGGAAAGCAATTACAGAGCTCTCACAGAGACTGCAGGATAATGAAAAAAGTTGCAAAGAATTACAGGACGAACTTCTACTGGTAAGGGAATAGCCCTGAGGCATTTTCTTTATTGGTCCAAAAGATGCTATGTGTGCTGCCAAGAAAAATAAACTTCTTTTTTGGAAAGCAGGCAATTGTTGGTACTACCCACTTCAGCTTCTCTTTTTGCTTAGAGTTGGCATATATGGGTGGTATGTGTGATGGGCGGAGCAGGTAACTTTCATATCAGTGTTCTGTTGTAGGCCATATTCTGGCTGGGGTGACCTTTGCTTCCGTCTACTGTTGTGCTCAGCTTTATGTATATGATTATAGTATTGTAAATGCTAGGGGTGGAGCCTAGACAATGGAAGGGTTGACAGCTTGATGAACATGATGGGCAACAGTCACATGGTACAGGTTGTATATTGAGGGGAGAGAGGGACTTGGGCGTTCTCAGTGGAATGACTGGTTATAGCAAACTATATGTTGTCCCTCCCACATGTTGTCTGACTGAAAATGGATTTAAAGTTGCTGACCTTTTCTGTACAAGACAGGTTTAAAACTCCAATTTTTAAGACTTATTTGACACCTTGGACTAATGAACCAATTGAGGTATCTGAAGCTTACTGCATAACTATGTTTTGTCTCTGTGTATTTTCAACATAGGTTTGCTATGTGTGTTAAGCGCTGTCAAGTCACTTCCAACTTGTGGCAGCCCTATGAATTAATGACCCCCCAAATGTCCTGTCATTAACAGCCTTGCTCAGGACTTGCGAACTGACAGCCATGGCTCCTTTGAGTCAATTCATCTCATGTTGGGTCTTCAACTTTTCCTGGCTTTATTGTCTTTTCCAGTGTCTCTTGGCTTCTCATAACCTGATCAAAGTATGATAGCATCAGTCATTTTAGCTTCTGGGGAGAGTTCAGGCTTGATTTGATCTATAACTCATTTATTTGTTTTTTTGGTGGCCCATGGTTTCCATAAAAGTCTCCTACATTTCAAATAGATCAGCTTTCTTCTTGTCAGCTTTCTTCATTGTCCAACTTTCACACCATACATAGTAATAAGGAATACTAAAGTATGAATTATCTTGATCTTGGTTATTAGGAACACATCATTACACTTAAGAATCTTTCCCAGCTCCTTCATGGCTCCCCATCCTGATCTTAATCTCTGATTTTTTTGGTGGTTGATGTAGTCAAGGAATAGAAAATGTTGCCACGAAATAGAAAATGTTTAACGATTTCTTCATTGTCAACTTTAAAGTTGTGTAATTCTTCAGTAATCATTACTTTTGTCCTCTTGATGATCAGCTGAAATCTGGCTTTGGCACTTTCTGCTTTAACCATCAGTAGTCATTTCAAGTCTTCACTATTTTCTACCAGTAATGTGGTGTTATCTTGTACAGGATTAACTCACTCAGTCCAGTCCAGGAATGCGAGGGAACCCTGCACTTTCAGCACATTAAACAACAACCACGGGATAGTCTAGACTCTCTCTGGTTTCACAACAGTTTGCCACCAGAATCTCTTTCCAAGAGTTCCCTGCCTTGCCTAAGGGAAGAGATTCAAACCCTTAGTTGGCATCTGGGACTTAACACATTACAGTCAGAGTGTAGCTCTATGTGGTCAGCGTTAGACACAAGATTTAGCCTTGGAGTTCAGTTACACATCAGAAACAATTAGAAATAAGAAGGCTCTTTATTCAGTACAAAGCATAACAAACAGACTACTAGAGGTTACAAAATAACAAATTCTATGGCTATTTGCCCTTAATACACATTAAAGATTCATAGTTACCAATTGAAGTGTCCATAGTCCAAGATTGTCCAAGGTATACAATACAGTTAGATCCCAAGGGATTTTGAAGAGAAATCCCATCTTGCACAGGGTTGCAATCTCAGTCTGTTCAGAGATACAGATCCACAGTAACAAAAGGGTTGCTCTTTGTTCCAAGAGTCAGTATTCCAGGTGCAATAAAACCAACAATGGCAGGAGGAGAGGAGAGAAGAGAGCGAAGAGAGACACTCCCATAGAGATCAATGGAATTATACTCCAATTCCCAGTCATAATCAGCTGTGGCCATCAGCCAATCACGAGTGGACAGGGTGTGTGCCCAATTGTTGGTTGTCATAACTGCGTGTGGGGATAGGCTAGAAGTTTGGGGCCCCGCCTGCAGTCAGGTGACCCAGCTTCCAGCTTCTCCATGGTGTACTGACAGGTCTGGCTCTTGACATAAAGGTGTGAAGGAATGTGGTATATGGCATGGCTATTAGGTAGTTCAGGCCATTTGGTCTCACATTAGACCATTTGGGCCTGCAACAGGAAGCAGAGACACAGCATGTTATCAGAAGACATCACAGGAGAAGGCCTGTGAATTTAGAAAGAAATATTTCTATACACATCTGAATAATGTTCCTTCCCCCAATTCCTACTCCACTTTCATCTAAATCTAATCCAGCTGTATAATGCTGCAGAGGTATAATGCTGCAGGGTATAATGCTGCAGAGTTCCCTTCCAAAGTAACCATTTCCTCCAGGGGAAATTCTGTAATTCTGGGAGATCCCAAAGCCCCACCTGGAGGTTGGCTACACTAAAAAGTCCTCAAACAGACCATGTTTTCCAGGAAGCACTCTTTAAAAAAAACAATAGCCACATAAATGTGAATCCAATTCAAGAAAGATGACTGTGTAAATTAATAGAGGCAATTTTTTTAAAAAAACACTGGCATAAGGTTTAAGACTAGCAGATTTATTGTGGTATCAGCTTTTGTAGATTTCAGACCCTACTTCCACTATCTGCAAATAAGAGCTATTTACTTTATGACATGAGTTAAACTGATGAAGCTGGCATGTCAACACCAGCTGTAGCACCAACATGCTCTCTAAATCTTTCAGATCAAGCTGCTCTGGTGCCTCCTATTAAAGCTGTACTGTGTCATGGTGTGGTAAAAGATCTCTTCAACAATTAGGGGAGAACAATTTAAAAATAAAACCTAGGACTTGATAATAGAAACTGCCTTGAGCTCACTGTAATTGATTCCATTGCCTTAATGAAGAAATAAAGAAAAAAGACCAGGTCTAGCTACTGTTTGTTAAGACCTCTGCTTTATTAGTTGGAAGAGGGCTTTTTTGGCCTGTGGGCACGTCTGGGATTTTGGGAGAGGCTAGTGGGCACCACCAACACAAAATGTTTGCTGCAGGGGCAGGCCCAATCACAACATGTTGTGGGGTGCCAAGACATCCTATAGGAGAAGGAGCTGCTTCTGATCGTGCAGTTGCAGGGCTTTATATATATTACTAGGAATAAGGTTCGTTGTGGAAGTAAATACAATGAGCTCTAGAAAGAGGCTCTGGGTGGGTACCCTGGCCTTGGGCACTCAGCATCAATTTTCTGTGGTGACCTCAGCAGGGTATAATGACACAGAGTCCATCATTTTCTCCAAGGGAACTGCCATCTGAAGAGCACTTGTAATTCTGAGTGATCTCCAGCCCTCACTTGGAGATTGGCAACATTAGTTCCTCAGGAGGAAATGACTGGTTTAGAGGGTGGAGTCTATGGCATTGTACCTTTCTGAGATCCTACTCAAACCCCACGCTCTCCAGGTTCCACCCCTCAAATCTCCAGAAATTTCCCAACCTGGAGTTGGCAACCCTATCTCCTTCCCAGCCAACCATCAACCTACCTTTATCTGCCTCTCTGACTTAAGCTTTCCATCTCCTCCCCCCTCCCTGCAGCCTCTACCTGGGAAAAGAATGGTCTTTCTCTGCAGTGGGAACCAAAGCAGCTCACATCATTCTCCTCTCCCCCCATCGATCTGCACAACAACTGTGTGAGGTAGGTTAGGCTGAATGTCTGTGAGTGGCCTGAAATCACCCCATCAGCTTCCATAGCAAGTACCTGGGTCTGGCAGACCCTGCCCTGAAGCACAAACTGCTATGTCACACTGGCTGTCATAGGGGGGCCACCTCAGCAGGGTATAATGAGACAGAGTCCACTATTTTCTCCATCTAGAGAGCAGTTGTAATTCTGAGTGATCTCCAGCCCTCACCTGGAGTTTGGCAACAGTGGTTTTCCAGGAGAAACAGTACAGTCTTTCTCTGCAGTGGGGACCAAAGCAGCTTACATCATTCTCCTCACCCCCTTTTGATCTTCACCACAACCCTGTGAGGTAAGTTAGGCCTGAAGATTGCCTGGTATCACAACTGAACCCCAGACAACAGATTTCACAACTGAACCCCAGACAACAGATTTCTTTCCCCCTGAAGAAAATAACTGCTTTGGAGGGTGGATTCTATGACATTATATTCAGCTGAGGGCTCTCCCCTCCCCAAACTGCCTTCCGTAGACTCCACCACAAAATCTCTGGGAATTTCTGAAGCTGGAGCTGGCAACCCTAGTCAGGACGGGCCCCAATGAGTTTTCTCTCAAAGACCAAAATAGGCCTGGAAAGGGCTTCTTCCTCCCACCTCTTCCTGACAGAACCAAGCTTGGTTGCTTAGCAACAGCCACTGAAGCCAAAGTGAGCCTAGCAGGAGGAGGAGGTGAAGCGTCTTTGTTAGGAGAGAGCCATTTTGGCAGTTTATTCTGTAAGGGAATAGTGGCTAGGCTGGCAGTGGGCAGGCAAGAAGAGCTCTTGAGTGGCTGTTGATGGGTCAATATCTGATGGAGCGCATAGCACAGCCAATGGGAGAGCTGGAAAGTGCCAATACGTTAGGCTTTTATATATATCAGATTAGCAAGGACTTCTTTGAAGAAGAGGCAGCTAAAACATAAGGAAGAAAAATGTATACATTGCATCCAGGTAGTCATTAGGCTACTAATAGTAGCTGATGCCTTCCCCTTTCCAAAAATGTTCATGGTTTTTACCCTTGCTCTCCTAATGTGAAAATATCCTGAATCTGAAGTCTGTTTTAGTTAGCTTTTTAACATTTTTGTTTTCACCTGACCAACTGACTTCCTGCAAAAGGGCTCTGAAAAAACCTTTTCAACTAAACAATAAAGCATGAGAAGATTTGTTAGCGTTAAATGCAAGTCTCTGTTCTGAGAACTGTCTGTGT